CTTAGTATACGTTACACGCTGGATTTGCTGACGTTTGCGATATTTTGGAAGGCGATTAAGTGGATTTAGCGTTGTAGATTTAACTCATTTCCTTTTTTAAATATGTTATTCGTATTTATGATTTGTATAAGCTTTCAATACTTGAAATTCATAAATACTTGTCGTATCATATTCTGCTAATTTATTTATGATATATAAGCTTTATATTTCATGCTTTTTTTTCATCGTATGTTTATGTATTTACCATTTTCTGGTTTCAAATTCACATGTTTTTGCCTACGCCAATTCTTGGTGACAATCGTAAAAACGTAATTTTAGCATTGGTAGCAGTTTGCGACCAGCGCCAATGCGTCATTTTGACATAGGTGGCATTTTTCAAAACCGCCCCTAACGTGTGCAGTGTACTAAGATTTTACTTTTATTTTTCTCTCTAACAAGACTTGGTTTGGGGTATCTTTTGATGGCATTATGAATCGCTTCTTATATTAGTGCATTTTGCAAAACAATCTTCTGTCTACTCAGACCGAGAGATTGCATAAAATTGGATATTTCAGTTAGATAAAAGACCTGAAACAGGCCTAAGAACTTTTAAAGAAATGGCTTTCACATAATAATGTAGATGTTCTACAGTGGCTAAGATTCCAGATATTTATTACTCATTTTTATTTATAATTTATAAGAAGATACATTGATGTGTTAAAAAACATCATTATTAAAATAAAACCTAATAAATAATAAATAAATCCCCATAAATGATTAATAAACCCCTATAAATAATTTATAAAATCCTATGAATAATTAATAAAACAAATATTAAAACAAATTGAACGCTTACAACCAGAATAAGATCAAATTCTAGCTAAACGCATCATTAACCATATTGAGTTTCTATTGCGTCCTACGTTGTTAATCTGCCGTGACTGTTGCAAAAAACATGACTATAAATTATTAACAGTTATGTTTCAATTGTTACACCAATTTTCTAATTTTTACAACTTATTAGAAAAGAATGTTAAATAAATAAAATTTATAATCTAGTTTGATACTTTTAAACACGAAAATATTGTAGTTTATTTTAGTTTCTATGCTTATAAATCTTTATTCATGCATATAATATATATAAATTATAATATAATATAATAATAATAATATAAGTAAATTCTGCGATATAATACGAATTTGGTTTAAGTAAGAAATAATATAAAAGTTATTTGCTTTTTACACATTTAAAAAGCGATAAGTGGATAATAAGTATGAAAATTATACTTAATGAATAGAATTTTTACAATTGTTGTAAAATTTTTATTCATTTCTATATGCTAACTCTAATACGCTGAAAACATTTTTTTAACTTTCACTTTAAAGTCATAGCTCGATCTCATTTTATCTTCATTTTTTTCTGTCTAAAATTTGTTCTGTGCTTAGTTATATAATACCTATTTATATTTTACTTTAAAAATATCACCTATTACTGTAAAATAGTTCATAATTTCAAATCTAACAGTTAATTTTTTTCAATCACTTTACGCCTGCGTTATTTCAAAAATTTCAAAGTGACCATCTTACATGGTTTTGAAATTATCTTAATACAACCCACAACTAAGAATTAAACCATAATTATGCTTAATTAAAAAAAATATATAACGAAGCAAAGTAGATATGTAAAGCAATCAAATGAAGTAAGTCTAAGAAAATAACAGTATTAACAATATTTTATTAACGCACATCAAGATAATTTTCAAATTATACATAATTTACAAATTCTTCTTTGCATGTAATTCTTGAATCACATATTTCAGAACTGTCCATTGTTTGGACCCTTTCAAAACACAGTGGTCCCAAATGTACATTGAAATAAAAATGGAATATTTAAAATTATTTTAGGAAAAATATTTTAAAACTAAAGAAACTTATCAGTTACCTATTTTACAAACGTTCTCAGTAACAGAACACACTGGTAAAATAAATATATTAGCGATAAGTGAATGGTTTACATTTGTTTTAAATGCATGGTAAGCTTAGAAATAATCACACTGCTATATTTTTTTTTTCTACTTATATTAACATGTATTTATCTTTTTAACAGTTGTGAAAAAATATTATTTAATATTTAACCCTAGATTTTTTTCTTTCAGAAGCAACAGCATGAGTCCTTCAACATTTCATAGGATGTCTTTCAAGGGATTGTGAAACAATTAAAACAAGAGTTCTTAAACTTCCTCCTTCTTTCTGTATGATAATGTAGTAATATTGCGACGCTTTTTTTCTGTTTTTGTTATTTTTAATTCCCAGAATTTTAATTCTTAAGGTTTTCAACCTTCAAAAAATTCAAGAAAAGGTTCTTTTCTAATAAATATTTTAAAAAAATTTAAGAAATTGTTTATTGCTCTTTCTTCTTGTTTATTGGTTCTTCTTTAACAATGAAATATGAAGTGCATAAAGGATTAACTATCCAAAACAAAATATTAAAACTAGGCTAACTTTAACTAACATAGTTTTTTGAGCCGCTATTTTTAATCTCTTCAATTCTTTTATTTTTCTAAAATCATTTTCCAAAGCACTTGGGTAAAAATTACCGATCTTTTTGGTGTTCCCATAGATCCAGAAACTCGGTAAATTACTCCATATTCTGGTATTTTTGACCATATTTGTTTTCTAACCTTAGACGTAGTTAGATAATTACAATTTTAAACAATTTTTTTCAATATTTCAACGTTATCAAGAAAAAAACAAATTAAAATTAAATTAATTAGTATTAAGCATTGTGCATTGTGAATTTCTTAATTGTGACCCGCACTTCCGAAAATTCTTCAAACAAAATTAAATTTTTTCATTGTAATTTTTTGCGTTTTGCTCGCTTTAAATCTCTAAAATCTGAGAAAAAGTAATAAAATTTCATCAGAAATTTACTATAAGCCTTCAATAAACGCGTATATCCTGAAGTTTAAAAACCCTTGTTTTTTTAGAATGCTTATAAGAAATTTTATAACATATACTATACGACTGTTTGAGCACTTTAATAACTACAACGGATTTGGTAAACATAGGTTTTTAATATTTTCTATTACAAATTTGCTCTAAACTGATATTCTAAAACTATTTGAAAACATGTTCTGACATTTAACAGATTTACATACGTTTTAAAGAAATTTAGTGGCGTTAAGTGGTTAATAAATATTATATTATAAACGTCATTTTTAAAGTAGTATATATTTATTTATGTATGATTTTTGTGGCTTCTTTTTGAAACACAACTAAAAAGCATTTGACTTATAAATTGTAAATTGCAATTTGTATTTATATATGCTTTTTCTGGGTTTATTCTTAAACACAAAAACTAAAAATCATTTGACTTATGAACTGTATTGCATTGTGTATTTATATATACTTATTTGGAGTTTATTTTTGAAACACAAAAACTAAAAACCATTTAACTTATAAACTGTGTATTGCACAGTACCCAAAGAGTTTCATAGAAATATGCTTGGTCACGACTCAATGGTTTTACTTCTCCAATTCTTCAATTTTACTTACAGCTTTTTAAAAATTAGGGCTGGCGGCATGAAGAACAAAGGACTGGTATGCCAAATGCATCAACCTAGACTCGGGTGAACACTGGACAGGAGTGGCAAGGGTCAACCTAGACTTGCGCTTACCTTATAAAGCTGGTTTTCGAAAGTTTCTGCAATACTTACTTCAGATTTTTTAATTAATAATTTTATACAGAAAAATTTCTAATGTATGCATGCATTAAATTGCAAAATATACTTTAAAATAAAAATAAATTATAAGCACAAAGTATACGTTGAGGTGACTAGTTTAAGTTAAGTTGACTTCAGTTAACTTGCTAGTAAAGTTTTCAATGGTAGGAAATAAAATAAAAAATTGCAATAACTTTATTTTTAAGGTGGAAATTTTATATTACTGTCTAGCAATTTTGAGGTGAACCCTCGTATTCGCTAAAATACTATTCAATATATAACACTTATAAAATAAATTTTTAAGACTTATGATCAAGATTTGAAGAACAAATTTTAATTTGGTTCTTTTGAAAATTTGTATTTAACACGCCTACATAATTAGATTGCTAAATTTAAGATATTCCACAAAACTCGTAATTATCTCTAACTAAGAAACTACAATTAGGTTACAAAAGACGTTTTTTTTTAAATTTTTTAGGCAACGTCTAAAAATATAAAATAAATGTTAAATTGGAATAGAACTTTTGGAAAATTAAATGAGAAAT